GACAAATTAAAATCCTAAAAATATTAAAATTAGGAATTTAATTTGTCAGGATTTTGTGTATTAGGATTTTGTTGCCAGGATTTTGTGTGTCGGGATTTTGTGTGTCAGGATTCTGATATACAACCAATAATGAGAATGAAAATACAGGAGAGACAGAAAATAAGAAGGATAACACATAGAAGAAATAGTAGATGAAGATATAGAAAGTATGGAAGCGATAGATAATGAGTTAGAGAATGGTAATGTAATAGATGATGATGATAAAAATAAGATGGAAGAAGATACAAATATGAAAATAATAGAGAATAAAAAAAAGACAAATGAAAATATAGAAGTGGTAGAGAGTAAAGAGAATGAAGGAATGAAAGAAATTATTAAAGTAGAAGATGATAAGTACAAAGAAATAGGAGAAAGCATTGAAGAAATGAAAATTGAGAGAACTAGGACAGTATCTGAAATTATCAAAGTGGAAGATAATGAGTATAATGAAGAAATAATAGAAAATATTGAAATTGAAAGAACAAGAGTGATGCCTGAAATTATTGAAGTAGAAGATAATGAGTATGAAGAAATGATAGATAATATTAAGATAGAAACAAGAATGATACCTGAAATTATCAAAATAGAAAGGATGAGTACAAAGAAAATATGGATGAAAGTATTGAAGAGATGTAAGCTATTTTTGTTTAAAATCAGTATTATAACAAATTCAAAAAACTGTGGGAAAAAGAAAATTGCAAATCTAATACTAAAAGATAATATAAACAATTAAATATAAATTAATAAATATATACATATATTTGATCATTACCAATATTAGCTATTATCTTAAGTTCATAATATATTTTTTTTTTATATTATTTTATATCTGTTAGAATTATAATAGAAAAATATTAGACTGCAACAAACTAAAAATAATAATAATTAAATTACTAATTAACAGCATAAGCTCCTTGTTCTGGTTTTGTATAAATTTATATTCTAATCTATAGTTACTAATGCTAAACTAAAAAAAATTTTTGATTTTGCAGAAAAAGCCACCCAGTTAGATTACACAAGCTCAAAGCCACAGACTCAATGCTACACAAACTGATCACGTGTTTACATGATATAGCTAATTTGCGACTATACAAAAATTGAGCCATGCCAAGCCATCCAAGCCACATTATATGATCACGTGATGTGGCTAAATCTTCATTTCCAGAAACTTTATTAGTATTTCTGTAAAATTTGCTGAAAGAGTCACCTATACTATATTAGATTCCAAAAAAGTTTTAGATTTGTATATACTATATTCACAAAGCCCTAATTTTATAAGTAATTTGTATCACATAGCACTATAATCACTCTCTGGTTGACTTGTGGATTATCAAATAATATATTACTAAAATTAATTTATTTTATACTTTAATATATAATTAAAAATTTATTTTGCTGTCACACCTCCAGATGGCAGGTCTAGAGTTTAAATCCCACAGATGATGATTTTAAAAATACCAGATCTGTATCGGTTAACGTTAAGATTATCGGTTGGATCCAGATATCTGTAATCTTGGTCACACTATTTCGAATGGAAGCTTCGGTGCAATAAATCTAGGAAACCAGAATTACTAAAAACCCATTTGGCAAGTCTTGAGTAGGGAGGTAGTACAATCATTGATAGTGCTACAGAAAGACCAAATTTGAAATTGGAGACTGAGACCAGAGAATTAAGTGACCAGGTCCTTAAGAGGAGGAACACACTAGCTAAATGCCAGGTTGCCAACTGAAGAAAAAGAATATGTGCTTTGGAAGTATGTACCAAGAGAAGTGAGACCTAAGGCACCTAAAGCCTGGGCAGACTGACAGTTCTGAGTTGCCGGCTAGAAGTAAAAGAGAGACCGGTAAAAAATCCAAGGAAGAAGGAAAGTCTGAATGTGAGTACCAGGATTGTGCAAACCTTATAAGAGCAAGGAATACGTAATAGGCAACTAATTAGAAAGGTTGTAGCTTAAGTAGCTGTAGAATGGCAGCATTCTAAAAGATGGTATAAGACATGAACACAGTGTAGCAGCATAGCAGGTACTAGTTAGAAAGAAGTTACTAAATATGCAGGTGAAAACATGTGTGGAACATGGACTATTCTGTTAGGTTTACCTCATAGATAGATTAGCTGTAATGGTTAGTAAATCCTAATGATGAGTGCAAAATCTAATTGAGTAGATGCAAAAACCACATATGTATAGTGAGTAATATCTAGGTTTAGGTGTAACAAATAGTAGTTATAACCAGAAAGTTTAAATGAGTACCTTCATAGTTGGGGTATAGGTATAGCAGATAGTGTAGAACCTTTGGGTGGACTATTTAAATTAGGCACCAAAAGTGCACGTGTGGCTTGATGTACTCTTGTTGTAATTATATAAATATATGTTGCATTTAATAAAAAGTCTCCTGGCTGAAGAGGTCACTTTAATATCAAAAAAAAAAAAAAAATTTATTTTGTATTTTGATATATTACTAAATTAATAATATCTTCTAAAAATTAATTTATTCAGCACTTTAATATATATATGGGCTGAGTGCTGGAAAAAGGACCGAAAATGACAAAATAAAAGATCTTCAGAAAATCAATTTTTGTGTTGTAAATCTTATAATTGATTATAAGAAAACACAAACTTTAAAAAACTATACTGCAAAATTTTATTAACACAACTACCTTTGTGTTTTAAGTAAAAAAAGATCCTAGCCTTATTCTAAATTAATTTATGCGAAAAAATCTATTTTGAAAAAATTGTCATTTTCGGTCCTTTTTCCAGCACCTAGCTCATATATATATTTTAATTTCGGCAGTCTTGCTTACACTTTATTAGACCTCATAATATTATACTATAAAATATTACAGTTTATTAAAAAGCTAATTCTTCTAATATCTAAATTACAAGTATTGGCTTACTCTGTTATTCGATAAATACTTATATACAACCTGCTATAGTAAGATTGTCTTCTATACTAACTTATTCTGCTATTAAATTTATTAGTACTTCTTTGAAAAAATCTTATGGCTTATCAAAACTACAAATTAAATTTTTTACTAATCTGCTTATATACTACTTTTAATCTACTTTAAAACTTTATTCTTAGAGATTTCTAAAACTGATTTCTAATATAAATTTTTTGCTTTTTTCTTATCTTTCTTTTGGTTTGATTTGTCTAGAGGAGCTTTTTTAATTTTTTTTTAGCTTTTTTTTCTTCTTTACTTTATTTATCTTCATAGAAAACCTTTTCTTTTTGTATATTATCTTATTTTTCTTTTTCTATATTTGTACTAATTTATATTTTTTTTATTCAAATCTTTTTCTATATTTCTTTTATTCAGCTCTTCTATAACTTTACTATAAATTTTTAGTCTAATTATTGAAATCAAATAGTGGTTTTAACTTCTCGAAATCTTCTTTTGTAATTAATTCTCTAATCCATATTTTTTTTTGTGTAACTTTTTAGTCAGGATTCCTTTACTAATTATTATCTGAATTTCTTCTTTTTTATTATAATTGTTTTCTTTTATTTTTAAAACTCTAAAAGTTGCTTTTACTACTTGTTTTTCTATATTATATATCAGATCTAGAACTATTTTGCAACTTACTATATGTTCTACTATTTCTGATTTTTTCTTGTATATTATACACTTATCAGTCTTGTATATATCTGGTTTTCTTTGGTTGAGCTTTTCTAATATCAGCAACAAATTATTTATATATTTTATCTCAAATAAATACATTGTGTTTGATTTAAAGATATGATTTTGTTGCTTAATTTCACATTTTAGTAATTCATACAAGACTGCCTAATATTGTAAAAATTTTCTCTCTTGGTTTATTACATTCTGTATATTATATGCAAAAGTCCATTCTGCTTTACTAATTACTTTTCTAGCATCTTTACAAAAGAATAAATTGGCTTTTTAATAATCTTATCCTTCCATTTATATCTAATTTTTGACTTTCTTGTGCTAAGTGTTATAAAATTTAATTTTTTTTAGAGTTTGTATTTTTTTTAGCCTTTCTATTTACTAGGTTATTAAAGATATTACCTGAGTAACTTTTAATTTTCATAAAGCTTATATCTAAGTCTTTAGTTTTAATTACTTTAACTAATATTACAATAAGACTATTATTTTTGATTTTAAGCCATTGACTTACAGTATTTTGTTATTTTTAAGATCTTTTTTGCTTGCCAAGATCACTGCTTTACTACTATTTGTTTTTATTTTAATCTTTTTCTTTTCTGATACTGTTAGTAGAGTATATAAAATTGCTACTAGCTCTGCTCTTGTTGATAAATACCATTGCTTAGTCATATATAATACAGGTTATCCTCGTTAATATCAACCCATTTGAACCTGTTTAAAATTATGTTGATAGTGATATTAACGAAAATTTATATTAAAGTTGATATATATGAGGGAATTTTGATATATAAAAATTTGTAAAAACTTGATTTATGGCTTAGATTAATATTAACGTAGGTTGATATTATTAGGGGTAACCTGTATTTGGTATATAATCTGTTCTTCTTTTGTAATTTGAATTATTTTACATCTTATTTTCATCTTTCCTATACTCTCTTTAGTACTAGTAAGCCATCTGTATAAAAATATAATTTATCTAATTTTCTATTTTGATCTAATCTTTTTACTAATTTATTTTTTACTACTCTATTATTTATTATTCTATCAAAATTATCTCACAATTTATACAATTTACTAATAGTGTCTCTTTCTTTTCTAGTTTTCTAATTTTACTACTTTCTACTTTTATTTTTTTTTGTCTTTTTCTCTTTTTTAAAAGTTCTTTCTGCTACTTTTTTGTTAAATATTATACTAGGCTTTTTTCTGCTTTCTGTATTAGATTTGAAATATCTTTTAGCTTCTTTCTTTTAACTATCGATGTTTTTTGAGTTTTATTATACTTTATTAAACTTTGTCTATTGCTCTTATTTAGATACATTATTTCTTTTTTTTTTTTTTGATATTAAGGTGACTTCTTTGGTCTGGAGAACTTTTTATTAGAGTATAGACGAAGTTTTATATATAATTACAACAATGGTACATCAAGCCACATGTGAACCTTTTGAGTGTCTATTTTAAGTAGTTTGCCCGAAGGTTCTACACTATCCGCTATATCTGCACCCCAACTAGGGGGGTATCCATTTAAACTATCTGGTTCTAACTATCTCCATCAGCCCTCTAACCCAATAGGTTTCCTCACTATTCATATGCTAGATTTTGGTATCACCCAATATGGATTTCGCACTCTACCCTAGGACACTTAACTATCCTCAAGGTAAACCTAATGTAGTGGTACATGTCCCACACATGTATTCACGTGCTTGTTCCTATAACTTCTTCCTAATTAGTACATATTAACCTGCTATTCTGTATTCGTATCTCATGCTACCTTTTGGGGTGCTGCCATTCTACGGACATTTCTCAAGCACCAACCTTCCTAACTAGGTGCCTATTACATACTCCTTGCTCTTGTAAGGTATTTACCATACTTGAAAATTCTGAATTTCAAGATATGCTAAAATATTTGCAACCTAATCTTCAAATTCCATCAGCTAATACAATTAGAAATGATTTGGATAAACATTATAATGAAGCACAACAACAAATTAAACAAGAATTACAAGTAATT